TTGTGTATTTGTGAAGTCTTTGAAAATGTAATAAGTTTTACGAAACGCGCCCGTGTCGCGTCAGACTAGAAATAAAAATGAATTTTGGAGAAGTGATTTTTGATTTACCTCCAACAGTGAAGCATAATGTACGAAAGATTGAGAAAATTCGTGTTAGAATTATTAATCTTACTTTTTCGGTCATATTTAATAAAATATGTCTACAGGAAAGACTGCTACCAAAATATACTAATATATATATATATATATATATATATATATATATATATATATATATATATATATATATATATATATATATATATATATATATATATATACATAACGTGCTGTACGCTTACCAGGTCAATACCACACTGCACATAGTTCACAATTGATTACGTTCGAACTTTTCTCGAACAGTGATTCGCTCAAATCCCATGTTCGAAGTACACCTCTCTAAATAAAACTAACAAACTGTAAATAACAAATAATGGTCAACAGAACAAAAACACCTAACCAGACCTAGACCTAAATATTCACAATTCGGAAAATATCATTGATTAATGCAAAACTTAATGCACAATTTAATGAACAACTTATGCATTCGTGACAACCCGTCCTCTCACCAAGTCCATTCCATCCAGCGGTCGACCCTAAACACCCATTCATCAATTTTAACATGCTGTTCATTCAAAACAGGAATATTTTCAAATGTAAATTAATATTGTTATACATTAGCATACTGTGCATATTTAGGCATTGGTTAGGTTAGGTGTTTAGGTTCTGTTGGCGATTATTTGTATTTGTAGTACGTGGGTGAAGCATTTATAGCGTTGTGGTTCGAATAAAAGTCGTCAGTGAAGCACTTGTTCGAGAAGTGTTCGAACGTCATCAGTTGTGAGTCGTATGTAAACCGTTTTTCATTCATAAACAGCGGGAATGGCGGGTGCATGGAATGGACTTTGACCTTTGTTTATGAGGACGGGCTTTTACACACGACTCACAACTGATGACGTTCGAACACTTCCCGAACAAGTGCCTCACTGACGACTTTAGTTCGAACCACGACGCCGACGTTTCATCTCGTGGTCATCATTTCTTCAGCCACGTTATTGGGGCTCATCGTCTGCAATAACTGTAACGTTTGCTTTAAAGTATTTAAAATTATTCCTTAAATAACTGAAATAATACTTGTATTATTTTAGTGTGTTGTTTAGTGATTTAATGGATTCTTTATTTAATTTTTTATTTAAATACATTATATTTCATTTTTACGTGCCTTGATTATTGATATTAATAAAGCAAATAATAGTAATAATATTAAGCTGATACTAATAAAATCTTCGATTTGGGCAACAAAAAAATAACATGATGTATAACGTTGATAAATTCCAGTAATTGAAGGTAAAAAATATTTGGTAATGTAAAAATTGAAAGAAAAAATACAGAGTACAAGACATAATCAAATCTCCTCATATAAGGAAGACAATGTATAAAAGATCTGGGCATAGTGATGTCAGATGATTTAATGTTTAGTGAGAGCAACAAAGCGAATATATTATAGAGTAGCATCAGTCAGGACTGGAACGTTATCTAACACAGTGCACAGTTATAGCCACAACAGACCATTGGAACATTATCTAACACAGTGCACAGTTACAGCCACAACAGACCACTGGAACATTATCTAACACAGTGCACAGTTACAGCCACAACAGACCACTGGAACATTATCTAACACAGTGCACAGTTACAGCCACAACAGACCACTGGAACATCTAACACAGTGCACAGTTACAAACCCATTAAGATTTCAACTTAGATTCAACAGAGCAAAATAAGTTGTTAAACACATATGGCAAAATCTTACTGAAGCGACCATACGAGTCATAAATACTCATACTCCGCCCAAGTAAAACAGAAACAAGCAACACTTAGTGGGCCAGCCAGAGGCTTAGGGCCCGCGCAGGAATATCCCTGCAAAAAAAAATCAGCCAGGAATATGAGAGAGTGGATTAGGTCAGTCTCCAAATCAAGAGAGTCGACCAGAGTGCTCATGCTTTTCAAATCACTTGTGTTGTTCCGTCTTGAGTACTGCCCGGTACCAGCTTCCCTTTTCAGACAACCCATCCTCCTGCTTAGATAGTAGTTTATGTCCCTATGTGCACTATAGTACAAACATTGACGTACTAAGCAACTGGATAGAATTTAATACTATTAATTTTATAAGAGTCCGAAAAAATTATCTAAAAAAAACAATATTCCGAGACCTAATATAGCACACATATGTACTATATTAGGCCTCTGTTAGAGTGTATTAGGCCCAGGAAGGTTAGATTAGTTTAGGTGGTCTTTTGCAACATAAATACAATATCTTTCCCGGTTTGTCTAAATTCAATAGTATAGATTTCAACTTTCTAATTGCGTTGTACGTCGATACAATGCTCCTCAGCGTTACTATAAGTACTATCAAAAAAGGAGAACTGGCTGTTTCAAAGCAGGAGATGTTTCTGAAACAGAGGGAGTACACTGAACATACCCGGCTGGCATAAGCACGATAAACACAACCCTTCAGATAAACTCAAATATTCACAATATATTTGGCGCCCATGGGACCCCCAGAGCCCATTTGTCCACTTGGTCCTCCAGGCATAGTCGCACCACCTGGGCCCATGGGGGCCACCAGGACCCATAGGACCACCAGGACCCATGGGACCACCAGGGCCCATTGAACCACTCGAACCCATTGTTCCACCTTGACCCATTGATACACTAGGACCTCTCACACCACCGGGACCCATTGGGCTTCCAGTACGGTTTAATACTTAGTGAAAATAAGTACAATTCCTGACTGCTATGAATAGTACATAATTGCACTTACTTGTGCTGTTACATTTACCTCCCCATTTTGTGGAGGACAGGCTGGAAAAACTGCCTAAATTACTGGACTGTCTCGAAGCTCTCATAATATAATCTCTGAGCAGGAGAGGACGGGTACCACATAATATATACATGGAAAATACTGGAGGTCCAGGTCCAAAATTCGCAACAGTAGAACAACATCTTACTGAAGCGAAAGATACGGAAGAAAATGAAGAATAGAACCAGTGAAGAAGAGTTAGAGGTACAAAAAGACAACAATGAATGAACATCAGAGGTTCACGGAATTTCAGTATTCTCCCAGCAAACATTACAAATATTGCTGGAACAAAAGGAGAACTTCTTCAAAATGCAATTAGATGAGTTCCTGCCAGACGTGCCATTCCAACCTTGGTAGTGGATATGTGGGGCCTGGGCGGGGCCCCTCCAAGCAGCAATTTACGTGTAAGCTAGGTAAAATGGGTTGCTCATTTGACCCAATTATTGGGTGTCTTAAGGAGACGTTTGATTAGGAGATCGTGCACGAGAAACAGTCTAACAGATCAGGAATGATAAAGAATAGGGAGAATATACTTTTAACTGGAAAGTTAAGATTAGAACAGGGGCATGAAGAACAAAAGTGTGAAGAACAAGATTGTGAATACCAAGATGATAAGAAAAAATGAGCAGCAAAAGTATCATCGTAATCATAAGGGTTATATTATAATACAGTAGTATATTGTATAACATAATACAGTAGTATATTGTATAACATAATACAGTAGTATATTGTATAACATAATACAGCAGTATATTGTATAACAATACAGTAGTATATTGTATAACAATACAGTAATTGTATACTGTAGAGCATAATACAGTAGTTGTATAGTGTATAGCAAAATACAGTAGTTGTATACCGTATAATAACATAGTACAGTTGCTGCATACTGTATAACAATATCGTAGTTGTATAATCTACAAGAATACAATACAGGAGTTAATATATAATATAATACAGTAGATGTTTACTGTATTAGAAATTACAATAGTTTTATTTTGCACATACAATATATGTTTTATATAGTCATACAATAGTTGTATACTGTATAACAATATAATACAGTCGTTGTATACTGCAAAATATATTACAGTAATTACATACTTCCAGGGGTACAGAGACTGGTTATTGGGGCTCAAATTAGAGTCTTAGGCAAGAAAACTGTAATAAAAAGCAAAATATACAGCAAATAATACACACACACACACACACACACACTCACACACACACACACACACACACACACACACACACACACTCACACACTCACACACACACACACACTCACACACACACACTCACACACACACACTCACACACACTCACACACACACACACACACACACACACTCACACACACACACACACACACACACACACTCACACACACACACACACACACACACACACACACACACACACACACACACACACACACACACACACACACACACACACACACACACACACACACACACACACACACAGTTACTATGCTAAAATGAACCTCCCAAGCGCCAGGAAACATTGGTACATTGCACAGAGCACTTAGTGTGTGAAGAGTTTCTGGCAGACACGCATCGTCGCCTTCCCGCGCGGACACACACACACACACAAAAAGGCGTCCTGAGACATGATTCAAGAACCCCACAAAAAGGCCTATCGAAAATAGAATTTCAAATATCGTGGGGAAAGAAATGGTAGTAACAATGATATTTAGTGTGAATAGAGAGAGAGAGGGATTGAACGCCGACCTGCATGAAGCGAGACCGTCGCTCTACCGTCCAGCCCAAGTAGTTGGGCAGAGAGAGAAAGAGAGAGAGAGAAAGCAGGCATTTCAGACCAATAGGTAGGTTCTGTACTGGGTGGGTGTAGTGGAAAACTGAGTTTTGGGTAGCCACAAGCGCCTACACCCCTCAACAAATTGAAGTGTAGCGGGAGGAGCTACATCGTTCTGTATACGGAATACACCTGTATGCAGATAATGATACACAAGGATACAAATATGTCGCTACATCATACAATATAACAACTGTCATACGGTCTGCAATGTTTATAAGAGGTTAAGAATGATGAGTGTATTATGAGTATAACTTACCCATGACCGCTGGGGCAGGAGGTGCTCCTGGACCTATGGGACCCATTCCCCCAGGGACTCCTCTTCCAGCGGGGCCCATCATTCCAGGTCTAGGGCCACGGGGCCCGCCGGGCCCACCCATACCATTTAGTGGTAATCCACGTGGCCCGAGGGGACCCATACCCGGTCGGGGGCCCATTCCCGGTGGCATACCCCGGAGACCTCCGGGCCCCATCCCAGGAGGCATTCCTCTCGGTCCAGGCCGCATGCCGGGTCTTGGGCCCATTGGTCCCCCCATTCCTGGAGGTCTGGGACCCATACCTGGTCCTGGCGGCCGGCTCATGCCAGGTCCCCCAGGACTGCTGACGCCCATGGGACCCCCAGAGCCCATTTGTCCACTTGGTCCTCCAGGCATAGTCGCACCACCTGGGCCCATGGGGCCACCAGGACCCATAGGACCACCAGGGCCCATGGGACCACCAGGGCCCATTGAACCACTCGAACCCATTGTTCCACCTTGACCCATTGATACACTAGGACCTCTCACACCACCGGGACCCATTGGGCCTCCAGGACCCATTGGGCCGCCAGGACCCATTGGGCCGCCAGGACCCATTGGGCCACCAGGACCCATTGGGCCGCCAGGTCCGCCTGGGGCTCCAGGTCCACCTAGCCCCATACTACCTCCAGGCATGCCAGGAGGTCTGGCACCTGGCATGCCTGGCACCGGAGCACGAGGACCACCTGGGCCCCCTGGGCCACTCATCCGGAGGAGCCCAGGGCCCTGGGGGCGCGGCGCCCCCGGCACACTGGTCCCCCCTGCTGTGCCGGACGTGGGTTCCTCGTTGCCCACGAGGGCGTTCAGCATTTTGTTGGCAAAACTGAACATTGTCACTAACAATAACAAGTTACAATATTGGTCATAAACATCACAGCGCAGCACGGGTACAAGGGACACTATAAGGCGGCTGGGGGTGGAGCGTTAGGGAAGCGGCTGCCACCACCTCGGCCGCGGCTCTGGCGACGGCCGCCTGGATCAATATGGCGGCAGCCGTGTCCACTATTATGCGCGGGGGAGGCCGCTCCTGCGCCACATTGATCTCCCCTCCCCCCCCCCTCCTCTCCCCCCGCGCGCCCTCACGCACGCCCTCACGCACGCCACACACGCCCACTCTTACAAACCACAACACACTATATGGGGCTATATTTGGCAACGTAAACTATACGGGAATGAAATACAAAGAAGCGAAAAAACTTTTTTTTTCCGTTCTCAGTTTTTTTTGTTTGCAATATTGATTCTGTTATTATTTTGTGTGTGTTTGGAACCCTAAAAATTGCATTATGTAGCATCGTTATATTTTGTATATACTTTACATAATATTTCAAGATTCACCTGTTGGTACCCACATATATGTGTTCCTCTAAGCTATTGTGGTATGCTCCATGCAATATGCCCACCTTGAGTACACGACAAACACTCCAGCTATATGTCTTGCATCTTCTCAAACAACTAAAACCAAATCTTGCCATTCTAAAGTTAGAAATCGGAAAATAATGACGTATTATAGTAATTTCTTCAATTCATAGTGAGATTTAATCATTGTCGCGAGAAGAATCTACAGCATGATATAATCTCAATAGTTTTATATCAAATTTTTATTCCGTCTTCCACTTGACCAGAGGAAACTTTGCACTGTTATCACTCCAATCGCTTTGTTAATTGGAAATGTGGATCCCGAAGGAAAAAAATATATTCCAATCACAATGATTTATTATGATTAAATCTTAAAATTCAATAAACTTTTGTCTACTGGTGACTTCTTAATGTGGTGGTTAAGCAGGTTCTCAAGCACACATCAATCTTCCCCTGTTTCACAATGTTTATCTTGAGGTTATCTTGAGATGATTTCGAGACTTAGCGTCCCCGCGGCCCGGTCGTCGACCAGGCCTGCTTTTTGTTACACACTCCCATGAAGCAGCCCGTAGCAGCTGTCTAACTCCCAGGTACCTATTTACTGCTAGGTGAACAGGCGCATCAGGGTGAAAGACACTCTGCCCCATTTGTTTCCGCTTCCACCGGGGATCGAACCCGAAAGTTCAGTACTACGAATCCGAAGCGCTGTCCACTCAGCTGTCAGGATCCCCCCCCCCCCTCTAAGATGAGGGGGGTTATCTTGAGATATCTATCTTGAGGTTATCTTGAGATGATTTCGGGGCTTTTTAGTGTCCCCGCGGCCCGGTCCTAGACCAGACCTCCACCCCCAGGAAGCAGCCCGTGACAGCTGACTAACACCCAGGTACCTATTTTACTGCTAGGTAACAGGGGCATAGGGTGAAAGAAACTCTGCCCATTGTTTCTCACCGGCGCCCGGGATCGAACCCGGGATCGAACCCGGGATCGAACCCGGGACCACAGGATCACAGTCCAGCGTGCTGTCCGCTCGGCCGACCGGCTCCATTCATCCCCGGGGGTTATCTTGAGATCTTGAGGTTATCTTGAGATGATTTCGGGGCTTTAGTGTCCCCGCGGCCCGGTCCTCGACCAGGCCTCCACCCCCAGGAAGCAGCCCGTGACAGCTGACTAACACCCAGGTACCTATTTTACTGCTAGGTAACAGGGGCATAGGGTGAAAGAAACTCTGCCTATTGTTTCTCGCCGGCGCCCGGGATCGAACCCGGGATCGAACCCGGGACCACAGGATCACAAGTCCCGCGTGCTGTCCGCTCGGCCGACCGGGGATGAATATAAATTCCAGCTGCCTTGTATGGACCAATAGAAGCTTTCTGCCGTTTCCTATAGATCTATGAAACAATCAACTTGACTCTAGAAACACGCAACACGCCGTAAAAGCAGTGTGGATACGTTGTATGCTTCCACGGAATGTTCAGAGATAGTTGAATCTGGCGTGCAGCTTCCGTAGACTTTATTATCGATTTTTTTTTTTTTAGGATTTTGTTATTATAATACAACTTTCATTATTACTTCTCTCTGCAATTCATCGCATTTGTTTTTGGGCTGTAGCAAATCAAAAACACTAACTCTTTTACTTTTCATATTTGTTTTTTTACTTTTTTATGCAAGTATCGTTAAAGCACTGTAAAGCTATTTAGTGACCTGTTCAGTAGGCTGTGTATCACCGCCCGTCACTGTCACTCACAGTCTCTCACTGTCACCGTACCTCGTACTTTTACGTAACTTAAAAAGGAGCGTTCTTCAAGAGCTACTCCAAGGCACAGTAGTCTCTGCTAAGTTCATATTACATCATACAAGACTTCACATAGATTTCAAACATGGCATGTACCCATATGCAAGTGCTACGTCATATGACGGAGTTAATTATATGCGGTCTATTCGGTTAGTCCGGATAAGCGCCGTCGAGTCTGGACACGGCCAGATGGGTGATCGCGAGAATAGCCATTGTCTAGGGGGAGAGAGGCGGCCAGGGGGGGAGGGGTACTTCAATAAGCCTTACAGGCAAAATCCCCAGCAATGGTATACCAAGTTTGAAAGTAATTTTTTAAATATATATATATATATATATATATATATATATATATATATATATATATATATATATATATATATATATATATATATATATACCTCGGAGAGGTACCCAGCTGTGCCCTGGAAGATGTCTCCCCCTTCCCCATTCTACTTCTTCTCTAATCCTCCCACATTCCTCCCACTTCTCCCCCCCCCCCTCTTCAAGGGGGGAGAGGGGGGCCTGAAAAAGGGAGAGATCCCCCATTTTCCTCTCTCTTCTCACACTCCCCCCCTCCCCCCCTCTCTCTCTCTCTCTCTCTCTCTCTCTCTCTCTCTCTCTCTCTCTCTCTCTCTCTCTCTCTCTTGCCCAACCGCCATCATCCCTTCCCCCCCACCACCCGTCCCATCCCAAATCCTTGTCCTCATTCCTTCCAAGTGCTATATAGTCGTAATAGCTTGGCGCTTTCTCTTGATAATTCCCTCTCCTTCCCCCCCTCCCTCTCTCTCCCCTCTCTCACCCCATATTCCTCCCCCTCCCCCTCTCCCTTCAAACCTCGAGCACAGACATATCCAGTGATATATATATATATATATATATATATATATATATATATATAAGAGGGTATCCAGCTGCACCCGGGTCTCTTCCCCACTCTTCATCCCATTTTCCCATTGACCTCTTCATCCTCATCCACCTTGGCCTTCCTCGACCTCTCCCCCCCCTTCCCCCATCACTCCGTGCCCCCCTCCCCCATCTCCCCCTTCTCTCCGAAAAATTATCAAGAATCATATGAAAAAGCGCGGAAACTCTACGGAAAACGCAACCGATATTTCATTTAAGATTTCGTGAAAATCACTGAATGATGATAGGGGGGGGGGGCTACAAGTTTATATTTCTTAAAATATTTAACTTAGACCAACAACGATCAGCCTATGTCCGTTCCGTACCCCAGACCATTTTCCCTGCAAATTTTGGCGAGACTAACCCCAAGCATCTGTCCTCTAACAGTGGACAGGCAAACAATTCTCTCTCTTACAGTATAAGACTCCCATATAATGTTGTCAAATATTATACTTACTCTGCAGACTTGATGGTTAACAATACTGCTCCTCCACAATATTATTTCACCACAAAACAAGGAACATGATTAATTTGACGCAGCTTAGGATCTATCTTCATTTTTGAGATTTGAATGACAGTACTCCCGGAGGTCGTTCGAAATAAATCAGAGAGGAGGTCGTAACAAAGCGTCCAGCTACTAGTTCGGAATCAGACAGAGCCGCGAGACCAGAGCCCGAGGTCGTTCCACATTAAACAAAGAGGCGGGAAAAAATGAGAATCAATGGTTAAAACTTGGCCAGTGTTTGCATGTCGGCTGGCAGCGGGGTGGGGGTCGTAGATTCCAGTTAGGCCGAGTTTACACATACATCTTGCAATACAGCATGGCAAAATATATGTAGAATTATGGCCGCTGAAGCATCGTAAGACTCATGATGGGGACAAACAATGTAAGACTTATGGTGACGCAACAAAGAAAGACTTATGGTGACGCAACAAAGAAAGACTTATGACAACACAAACGCCATAAGACTTATAACAACACATACACCACAAGTCTTATAACAACACAAATGCCATAAGACTTATGACAACACAAACACCACAAGTCTTATAACAACACAAGCATCACAAGGCTTATGACAACCCCAAGAATGTAAGGTGTAAGATAAAAAGAAAAACCCTCTGCCCGACCCGGGTTTAAACATGAGAGAAGACACGACCCATAATTACCTCGTGTGGAAAGTCCTTCCATAAGTCCGCCTCACGAAAAACACAAAATTATCTCGCTTTTCTGAACCAAAATCGTTTACCAATAATTGTAAAACCTTTCTTGCAAGTTTTGTTTGAGCAAAATTTCAAAAAAATAAAATGAAGATTGATCATTTTTTGTTAAATAATTTTTAGATATAGTTGTTTTATTATTATAAAAGTCATCTGAGACTTTATAAGACTAAATAATACGTGGTATTTTTTAATGAAACTGATAAATCTATTTAAAAAATGCGAGGTATTAATATAAATTAAAGCGTCGTATATTGGCGTTTGCTATGTAACAGTCTCGATAGATTGGGTGGATTGGAAGGGTTTGTGCTGTGGGTTAAGAAGACCAGTTCCATGATTTTATGGAGTGGCAAATCGAGAAAACGGGCCGGGTAAAGACCAACAAACTGTCCTCTTCTTGAAGGCAGTACCATATTTTTTTAACGCTATCGACCCCACCGTCAAAATTGCTGTAGTTTATACACATACAAATCACCGCAAAACTGACGCTTCATGGGCCTAGTGGATATATAATACCGTACAAGGGAGATTTCAAGATGAGAGAGGAGAGTCCAGAAGGCGTCGAAGACATAGAAACAAAGAAGAGAATGACAGTAGATAAGATCTAGTTAGTCTAGCCGAGCAGTCCGGAAGTCTTGTCTAGCACTCAAGAAAATAAGCTGTGTGCCAGACTGGAATATCCGATGGAATCAGGAGGAG